TCCCCCTCCCCCCCTCATCCTCCATTCATATGCATTCCGTTTTCTGCGACGGCCCGAAATATATTCCGTTTCCTTCCCATCAGCAGCCAAGGTCACCCGCTTTACCTTTCAGCTCCTCTCTGCATTATTCATATCCTCTTTATCCACGAAAGATAAAACATTTCTGCTCATAATCCTGAAATATTTGTTTTTTTCATCCGTTTAAACGCCGAGCGTCTCCACCAATCCGCCGCAGTCACAGGAATGGGAAGATGTCACGTTTTTGGGGTTTTTCTCTCTAAATTGGAATGGAAGGCTTTGATATGTAGATGGCGGCGCCGCGCTTTGAAAGTCGCAGTCTTTTTTTTTTAATCCTTTGGTCATCGTTGTATTCATCGATTTGTACTTTGTATATTTTGATCCTGAAGATGCCGGGACATTGGGACACGCAGGGAGAGGGATTGACAAGGAACATCATAAAACGTCGGAGAACAAAGTTCTTAATATACACGGGAACGTGAGAGTCTGTCGGCGAAATCTATGGGGAGGAGGGATAGAGAGACACGGCAAGACCGACTCCAGACAGCACAGGAAAGGGTCTGCAGCACCATTGGGCAGATTTCCTGTCATTTCCTGTGCCAGTGACCGGGTGTCACAGTAACAGGAAGTGACGGTAAATCGCTAGAATGGAGACAGAGACAGTAACATAAAAACAAGTAGTAGTAGGGTGAGGAAAGGATAAAGAAGATCTCCATGTATTTAAAACAGTGGGGAGAAAGGGGAAGCAGCGCAGTGATGAGCTCAGCTCTCTGATTTCACCTCCTATAAGCGTGCACCTTGTCAGCACACTGATTGGCTCCATGTGCTGTTTCTTGCTCTCACGCTTCAGCCCTGCTGTACAGGGACTGCAAAATGCTGATTCCAGGTGAGATTCTGGAATGTCCCCCTCAGCATCCTCACACGTAATGCGAGTGAATGGACTTGTATTAGATTGTCACACCGTTCACCATCCTGCATGTATAATATGGATCATGATGTCACACCATTCACATCCTGCATGTATAATATGGATCATGATGTCACACCATTCACCATCCTGCATGTATAACACAGTCCAGTCTCTCTTCTCCTACAGACATGAGTCATAATGTACTGTACACTGAGTGGCCAGATTATTATGACCACCTGACGTTTGCAGGCAAATTAGCTATAATTTGGCGCTGAAGTTGCTAGAGGGCCAGACCATTATAAATAGGGAAGCAGGTTGGTTACCACGGCAGTAGAAGTGATTTGTTTCTGAAGATACGGGGAAACAACGCGATTTAACAGACTTTGAGCGTGGGATGATTGTTGGCGCTCGGAGCCATGGAGCGAGTATCAGCAAAACAGCAGAATTCGTTAAATGTTCAAGAGCAGCTGTTGTTAAAGTGTTTAAAGACCGGACTGTCAGCCGAAAATCTGGGTCTGAATGTGCGAATTGTGGCCGTCAGCGACTAGTCAATGTTAGGGCAAAACGGGGGAGGGGCAAGACTGGTACAAGACAACAGAAGGGCAACAGTGCCGTGTCAGATTCCTCGCATCACCTTTCATCATCTCGTGGAGTCACGAGGCGGCCCAACGAAGTACTGATGGGGTGGTCATAATAATCTGGTCACTCAGTGTATATACAAGGAAACACCAACTCCGTGTACCATTTGTGTATCACTGGAGCTTACACTCTCCAGGCTCCAGGGGTGTGGGCACAGGGAAGACATGACCTCACAAGGAGCGGTATTTTGGCTATTTATATGAACAGTATAATGTATGGACGCCCTTGTAGTGTAGTGGATGAAGTAAGGGAACATTTTCTGTGGGTTACAGTATGTCTGCTGCAGGGCTAGATGTTACTCATTTATTCTTCTTCTGTCTCTCAGCAGAAATATGGAAAAGTGAGGCCGGCTAAAGTCTGGGCATTGCCATTGTTGGATTTTTAGATTGTAAGCTCCCAGGTGCGGGACCCTCCTAATCCTGGAAAAAAAACAAAGGGAGTGGGCCAATTAACTAGTGTAAGAGGTCCAAGGGTTAAGGTGCTCACACACTGCTCGATTCTCGTACGAGAATCGCGGGAAATCCCGCGATCGTACGAGAATCGAGCAGTGTAAATGAAGATGTGTGACAGTTTCTACTGTACGGTCGCACGTCTTTTGTCTAGGGAGCACGCTAGAAAACGGTGACTAGTTTTTTTCCCCCTTGGCTTTCGCCCCTCTCCCAGGTGCTTCGTCCAGGGCCTTCCTGACGAAGCCCCTGGGGGAGGGGCGAAACGCGTAGACGCCGAGCACGCAATAGTAGGATAACCCTCAGCATACTTGACACATAGTCGATGTGTCTGGATCCTTAGCGCTTTTATTGCCTTTGAGACGCATATTGGATTACTGTAATCTCTCATCGAACAAAGCACCCCTGATTTCCTACCACTCCGTAGAATCTCAATATGTGGAACCGGGGTCGATTTGGGACATAGCCAAGGGGGGAAAAAACTAGTCAACTCATCAGTGGAAAGGACTCAAAGAACCAAACAGCACGGAGACCAACACATATCCGGATACGTGAGTAAAATAACGTATTAACCCGATCAGGCCAATTAAGTGAACAATATCCCGGTCTTTGAATGAACACCCCCTCACCATTACAGCAATAAGGGGAAGACGCATGCTACACCGGATTTATATATGGGAACACTCCATCCTAAATGTGTTCATTGAATTCGAATCGTCATTCATCCTGTGGGGAAAAATAATTTCTTTCCTACTTTGGGATATACCAACCAAAGGAACTGTTGGAACCGTTGTGTCACTTTGAGGAACCTCTTGTTACAAAGTATTTATTCCATACATCATGGGAATACATGGACTAAAAGTCCTTTTCTACGATAAGAAAACACCCCATTATAGAACCGAATGATCTATGAAAAATGCGAGTTAAAGGAGAACTATGGGGTTAAGGCTTTTCCACATAGTTCTCCTTAGGGTAACGGGAGGACACAAATTTTGTCCTTTCTCCTTCCTGCTGATTTGCCAAAGTGATGAGAGGGTTAATCCTGCCTGAGAATATATTATATACCTAAACTTAGAAGCTGATTTCTGATCGGGATACTGATGTGTCTGAATATACTTTGATGGTATATGTATCCTACTGAATGATTTTTTTGATACAGTCAGTATTGATGCTGTTTGCACAGTTCTGTCACATTGTTTTTAATTGATTGTCTGCAAGATGTTGGCTGTGTTCTTTTTCTACTTTTATAATCAATAAATCTTTTGAAATTAATACAAATTGGTCTGTCCCGATCTCCAGCTAACCCTTGGACCTCTTACACTAGTTAATTGGCCCACTCCCTTTGTTTTTTTCCAGTAATTTACTGGTTACGGATCAGGTAGACAGACTAAAAACACAAGGGTGATTAACTCTGAGCATTAGATCTCCAGGAGTGAAACCACCACTTTTATACGCCCTCCTAATCCTCATGTATGGAATTGCATTGTGACTGTGCTGTCTCCATTTATTTTGCAAACTGTTGGTGCTCTTTAAATCCTGTATAGTAACAATCTGAACCAGCGGCGTCCCTAGGCCGGGTGTCACCCGGAGCTATGTAGAAGGGGGGACCCACCGCCGTGACGTCATTGCGCATGCAAAAAGAGGGATATAATCCTTGTCAGATTTTTTTCGCCCATCTGTGTCCCATTGGGGGGATTTCCCTTTACTTCCTGTCCAATAGCCACAACAGGAAGTGAGAGGGAATCCCCCCCAAAGAGAAGGAAATCCTTAGTGGTTAGCAGGGTCCCCATTGGAGGATTTCCCATCTATTCCTGTTCTACTGACAATCCAAAATTTGGCATTTTCTTTCACTGGGGACACAGACAACAATAAAAACTTGATGGGTGTTCTAATCCCTCTACACTCCATCCAAAACTACAAAACAAGAAATAAATGTGGCTTTAGTTCTATTCCAGGCGGTGACGAATGTGAAGCTCAAAGAGGCACATTTTAAAATCAGGCTTCTGTTCTGCTTTTTGAAAGCATGTGCAAATATTTTCCAGGGACGCTTGAGCCAGTGGCATAGCAATAACCAAAGCAGCCCACGTGTCTGCTATGGGGCCTGGGGGGCGGAAGGGGGCCCCATTAAGGATTGCAGAAGTTGCTATTGGCCCTGTTCTCCCGATGACATTTCCAATCAAGAATAGCTGACATCAAATGTACAGGAGCAGACCATGCAGACAAACTCTCCTGCTACCTCTCCTTGATTTAGATTTTAAGGGGTTGCCGAGGGGGGCACCAAAAGTTTGCTATGGGGCCCGATGATCTGTAGCTACCCCCCTGTGCTGAGCTGTCTCGTTCAAGCTCACTAAGTGCGGCACTTAGTGTATTCCTCTGGATTATTTTGTAACATATTCATTAACTTTTTATAATATTGAGGATTTTAAATGCTGGTGTCTGCCCTCCATATGTGTCAGCAGCTGCCCACTTGGGCAGTCATGAGAAGAGGTCACGTCTGTCCTGGACATGGCAGCAGACGACACATAACTTCTCTGTTACAGGTCAGAGACTTGAAGGTGAACAATGTAAGCAGCTGATTATACACCATAAATCCAATCCCTGCACTACATAACAGTTGCTGACAGTCCCTGGATTCCGGGGATGACCCTTTGTTTTGAGGATGGAAGTTTTTCAGTTAGAGAATAACTACAGTCTCCAGAAAATTCTCTATGATATGCATAGAGGTGCCCCATCGTTCTGTGCTTGCTGGGCTTTCCACCCCCATTTTCATTCAGCCTCATAATTAACAAGAATCACAGATGACCCCTTCCACCCGCTCATTCCCACAAGTCAGAAGTTCATCCGGCTTCTTCTTCTTTATTACACACAAGGAATCTGCATGCCCTGGTCCAGCACAGAATGAATAGCCGGCCGGGTCCCTGGACAATGCAAGGATATAAACCAATGACATATTATCAGTGACATGTATGGCCGGCCTGGAAGGATTTGAAAGAATTTTGCGCCTTGTAGACTCATCCAAAACCCCATCCCTAAAAATGTGTCCACAATAAAATAACAAATGTTTTTGTACAATACTGTATTTACAATATAAGGAAGACATTACAATCACAATACAATTCAAGACAAGATGGTAAGGAGGGCCCTGCCCATGAGGGCTTACATTCTTTGCGTGGCCACTAAATGCAGCCATTGTTGTGAATGGGATTGTGCCGCAACCGTGTGCCAAACAGTTGGCACCCTATTGTGCCGTGGTAGCTCTATGTAGAATCCCCCTTAGGATAAGAAAAAAACAGTCATTCAGGAGGCTGAAGTGTTGCCTCCAAAATGCCTGGAAGCCAGCGCTCTACCGCCATCTGAAAAATGATCCCCGGCGGATCCATGCCGCCCAATCAGCTGTGATGTCAGTGACATTATATGGCTACATACTGTATTTGGTAAATTACGTTTATCTAATGTAGCCATATATTGTAAATGACGTTTGGCGCAAGCATGCTATCCCTTTATTTACATGCAGGGGTGGGGAATGCCCGGCCCGCAGCTGATTGGGTGGAGGTGCCCATGGCACTCCTTTGTTTGGAAGATCACGCTATAGTAAACATGCAGCAAAATGCTTATGTGTGAACGGGGGCTCAGGGTGTTTTTAAAGCCTAATAAAGGAGGCAGAGGTAGTGGCAGACGGAGAGGCAGAAGCAGAGGGAGGCAGATAGAGAGGGTCAGAGGGAGAGAGAGGGGCAGAGAGAGAGAGGGGCAGAGAGAGAGAGGGGCAGAGGCAGAGAGAGAGAGGGGCAGAGGCGGAGAGGGGCAGAGGGAGAGAGAGGGGCAGAGGGAGAGAGAGGGGCAGAGGGAGAGAGAGGGGCAGAGGAAGAGAGAGGGGCAGAGGGAGAGAGAGGGGCAGAGGGAGAGAGAGGGGCAGAGGAAGAGAGAGGGGCAGAGGATCATGACCAGAGATGGCCTCTGCAGGGTTATGGGCCTTGCAGTTTTACCTACATCTGCAAATCTGACCAACAGGCTGCAACCTATAAAGAATAATCACAATCTGGCCAATCTAATTCAGTAGCTTTCTAAGTGTATTAGTAGAGATGAAAGAAGTAATGAGAAACCTGGTACACGTGAGAACCCTTGTATCCAAGGATACAGAATCTTCATAGAGGAGATCTCTTCCCATCTGAATCTCACCATTTGCAATTTTGCAGCTGTTCAGACAGGATGGGGCGCGTCTGATGATCACATCCCAGGTGTTGCAAGCCCTGATTACGTCTCCGACACACCCCGCACAGCTTCTCAGGCTATGCGTTATGACAAATCATCATTGTCTGCTGCCTGAGGACCTAAGAACTACAGTAATGGGAAAATCCTGTCCAACTCTGTCTATAGCTCACGTTGTCATTTCACCTTTTTTTAAGCTTGAACGTCAGCCTTACCTTTATTCCCATACTTGTAGCAACTCCTCTCCTGTGTCAAAAGTGATTACGCTCAATTACCAGCAAACTTGCATATTCACAATATAACCCTTTGAAACTGCAGCAGCTATCATGAGGACACCTTAATTTCCTGTCTAAATCTCCATCATTTATTCATCAATCACTTTTCTACCTGATTCGTACTGCCATTCACCTCCCTCTCATAGGTATTAGATTTTTGTGCCATCAATAACTTTGTTACTAAGCATTATATGAAGAAACACATCCCTTTAGATGTGCCTACTCAAACAACTGATCAACAGAGTGCACAGCTAAACTCTGCGGCACCCTGTGGCATGGGCGTCCCGAGGCCGGGTGTCACCCGGAGCAGGTACCGGGTGACACCCAGCCTTAACGTCATCGCGCATGCACGTGACATCATCACATGCGTGTGCGGCCATCCTGGTGATGAACGCCAGCAGAGAGAGGAGGGGACGTTCCACCGCGTCCCCTTCTCTCTCCTGCAACTATCGGGCTTTCAGTCCATGACAGAGTGCCCAACTTTTCAGAAGGGGTGACACCAAAATGACGGTCATTTTAGCGTCACCCGGTTGTGGCCCACACCCCTTGTGACGCCACTGCCCTGTGGCCAGAATGGAGACGCAGGCACATCTAAAGGGATCCCAGGGATATGTTCTTTCAGAGTGGGTACCGGGTGACACCCCGCTGTGATGTCATCACATGCGTGTCCGACCATCTTGGACACCAGCAGAGACAGGAGGGGACGTTCCGCCTGGTCCCCCTCTTCTCTCCTGCAACTGTCGGGCTCTGTCCATTACCGAGTGCCCGACTTTTCAGAGGGGGTGCCACCAAAATGACCGTCAGTCATTTTGGCGTCAAGGGATGCGTTCTTTCACATGGTACTTTTGAAAAAGATCCAAAGCAGAATTCTCTGACATTTACAGGAGCCTGCCCATCACTCCCACCAAAGAGCTGCAGACAGACCCAGTGATTGGCATTTCTTGAAAAACCAAAATGATTTGATTGAGAAATGTTGATTGGGCGGAGGGGGGAACAAGTGAAGGCATTATATGGGTGCACTATACTTCTGCTCTAACACATTACACATCATATAGGAAGGCAGTGATATCATCATTTATCATGGTATGCTTTCTCTGCATAGGCTTTGGGATGGCTGCTTGTGGGCTGTGAGTGAGGATCTTGAACTGTGTCTCTCTCCATGAGAAGTAGAAGCTGCTTGTCTCAGTGACAGAAGTGTGGCCTCGGGGTGGCAGGCGGCTGAGCTGTGAATTAGTCATTGCCAATACTGAGATAATAGACTGGTCTACAGTCTTTTTTCCTTCCACCCTTTGCTTCTCACAATGGGAGGTGTGTGTCCGCTATGTGTTCTCTTCTGATGACTCCAAATGACTTACTTCTAGAGAAAAATGACATTTCCTGGGCTGCAAGAACAAACGTAACATGAACTTAAAGGAGAACTATGGGGTTAAGTCTTTCCCCCATAGTTCTCCTTAGGGTAGCGGGAGGACACAAACTAGCGTCCTCCCGTCACCCTATGCTCAGTATACCGCGAGCAGCCGCTCGCGGTATACTGAGATGCCGCAGCTTATCCCGACAATTGTGCCGGGATCCGCCCAGCTGCGTGATTGACAGCTGGCTCTGCTTATCTAGAGGCAGAGCCAGCTGTACCCGCCCGTTCCGCCAGTCAGCGCTGGCAGATCGGAGCGGGGAGAGGGGAATCCAGCCCCTCCCGTTACGGCAGAGAGCCGTGACAGACTCGAGAGGGGAGCGAACCGATTTTTTCCTTCCACCCTTTGCTTCTCACAATGGGAGGTGTGTGTCCGCTATGTGTTCTCTTCTGATGACTCCAAATGACTTACTTCTAGAGAAAAATGACATTTCCTGGGCTGCAAGAACAAACGTAACATGAACTTAAAGGAGAACTATGGGGTTAAGTCTTTCCCCCATAGTTCTCCTTAGGGTAGCGGGAGGACACAAACTAGCGTCCTCCCGTCACCCTATGCTCAGTATACCGCGAGCTGTGGCTCGCGGTATACTGAGACGCTGGCACAATTGTCGGGATCCGCTTCAACTGTGGCGTCTCAGTATACCGCGAGCAGCCGCTCGCGGTATACTGAGATGCCGCAGCTTATCCCGACAATTGTGCCGGGATCCGCCCAGCTGCGTGATTGACAGCTGGCTCTGCTTATCTAGAGGCAGAGCCAGCTGTACCCGCCCGTTCCGCCAGTCAGCGCTGGCAGATCGGAGCGGGGAGAGGGGAATCCAGCCCCTCCCGTTACGGCAGAGAGCCGTGACAGAATCGAGAGGTGAGCGAACGCCGGTATGTGTTCGCTCACCTCCCGATCTACTGAGCCGACCTGTGACAGTCTCATTGTCACACGTCGGCTAGAACTATGAGGTGAGTGAAGAGCACCCGCCTCATAGTTCTCCTTTAATAGGCCGGACAAAGTCTCCCTTACGGAAATGAGAGAGGAAACCCAGAGTTTAAAGTATTCTACTAACATTACAAAATTGTAACAATGTAAACCTTAATGGAAGACAATATATGGGTTGTCACCACTGTAGACCTTAGTTACCTGGATGTCTCTGGTTTCAATTATTTCTTAGTAACTTACCTAGAACTAGCATGCGGCCAGTAAAGTAAGAACCCCCTGATCTGTATACCTATTCTGTCTCAGTAAGAGCCCTTTCACACTGGCTTTACAATCAGGTCTACCTGGCAGTTTTTAACATTGGGCTTCTGATCAGGTCCGCATGAAAAACGGACAGGCGGACCCGATAAGAAGTCCAATGTTGGTCTATGGGCAGCCAGATCCAAACGGACGTGTGCCTGTTTACAACCGGTGACCCCCCAGCTCTGGCCAGGTCCAGAAAAACAAATGGATCAGAGTTCTGTTTCGGTGGACCTGATCAGGCCAGGTCGGGAGTAAAGTGATGTAAATGGACACATATCCATTTACATCTGATTCCCCATAGCTGTGGGAGGGACCCAGCAGGGCCCACCTGCTACAGGCAGGAAACTTCAGGAGGGGGGAGGAGACAAGACCAGTCACCCTGCACAAAGTGAGACCAGCAGTGAGCGGTCTTTATTACAGGAAGCTCCAAGTGTCACACTGGATTACGGCACAGATCTGCAAGAAATACAAAAAGCTCACCAAGATTTAAGGAAGAATACACATGTCTCTTGTATGCCTCATTTGGTGTCAGTGGGAGGAGCGGTGCCTCGTCCTCGGTGTCAGTGGGAGGAGCGGTGCCTCGTCCTCGGTGTCAGTGGGAGGAGCGGTGCCTCGTCCTCGGTGTCAGTGGGAGGAGTGGTGCCTCGTCCTCGGTGTCAGTGGGAGGAGCGGTGCCTCGTCCTCGGTGTCAGTGGGAGGAGCGGTGCCCCTTCCTCGGTGTCAGTGGGAGGAATGGTGCCTCGTCCTCGGTGTCAGTGGGAGGAGTGGTGCCTCGTCCTTGGTATTAGGAATCCCCCACCCAAAGCAATAATGTTCAGTGGCATTACTTATGAATGTGTCTCACTGCTCCTCTATTGGCCTGATGAGATCACAACCTGGACTATGAAGGCAATGTTAGGTAGGAGATCACTCCACCCAACAGTGCCTAACATACATTGCTTGTAGCTGGAATTCTGTGTTCCAATGCCTGCTGGCACTTTGCATACAGTGGTTCCGCCATGCAATGAGGAGGCCCTGCATGATAGGTCATGGCTCGTAGTTTGGGGATTACTTATATGTATACAAACTAAACGTCGAAGAACATCATTCATAAAAAATACAATAATTGACCTCATTATTTCATAACCACCTCCACCAATCACGATGTTTTAATGTTATAAGACTGATTTAGAATTGTTTAGGGCAGGGGTGCCCATTAGGTAGATCGTGATCTACCAGTAGCTCTCAAAGCTGATGCTGGTAGATCACGAAGGGTGTGATTGGTAGCCCCTTTATTCCATTTTGGTATATTTATTTAGCTGTGCACACATGATTACCTATTAGCCCGAGTCTGCTGAGACAGCCAGGGGAAAGAGCAAGGAGAGACAGCCAGTGAGGGACTTTTTTTTCGTTGGTAGATCTCATGTAGCTAGTCATTTAAAAAGTAGATCTTAACACAAAAATTGCGGGCACCCCTAGTTTAGGGCATCCTTAAAGACCCAGAAATAGTCTCTTACCTCCCTTCCCAGGATACGGTTACCTCTGACAGAACGTCCCCTTTATATTTCAAACCTCTGGAAGGGTCTAAATATAGCCCAACAATTCTTCTTTACCTTTCCGCATACCTTAACACCAAACTGGTTCACCAAATAACCACACACAGGCAGCTGAAGTTTAAAAGCAGGTTTTATGTTGCTTTGTCAAGGTTTACATTGATCTGAAAGACAAACACACACTCACTTCCACCGTTCCTCGCTGTGCAGACATCAGGCATTTCCGGGGAAAGTGGTTCACAAACCATTTACATGATAATTTAATCTGTGCACTGCTGGTGTAAGATGAGCCTCCGACTTGTGCTGAAAGGTACTCCAACTGTGAAGGAACCGAGTCACAAAACAGCCAATGCTTCCCTATCTGATACAGTGCACAACATGACTTCTACTGCAAGGATATGATTGTCTCAAATCCAACCTGCCCGCGGCCATTTTGTATGCTTGTTCCTAGTGTTAAGAGTGAGAATTGTCTCTCTTTCTTCTTTTTACTGAGGAATTTGTTGGTTTTTTTCCCCCCCTGTATACCTCTGTGCAAAATCTTGTGTAATAACTATTCAAATCAGCCATTCCATTTAAAGTAAATGTCATATTCCGGTGGACAAAAGGAAGGACCGTGTAAGGCTACAAAGCTCAGCTACAGATATGCAACTGCTCAGTAGCATGAGAGTAAATCCGTATAGACAACCAACTTATTCAAAAAAAGAACAGAAACAGAAGCAATAGGGCTAAGGGTTAGCAAGGGGTTCAAGGGAACCTGTCAGCAAACATGAGAGTCTTTACGGTATGGTAAGGCCAACATGTACACATGGACATTGAAAAGAACTGATAATCACATGCTTTTTTAGGTTGATCAGCTAAATAGGCAGGACAGAACATCAATGTACAGTCTAGGAGCCTGCAGTTAGCAGTGGCAGCTCCCTTACTTCTATCATGACAGTCCCTTTAAGAGGGGAAAAAAAATAGGTGCAACCAAAATCAATTGGTCAGTTGTTTTTAACATAGAAGACAAAAACCTGAATGTTATAAGATGCAGACCCTCTACCAGCTAACAGAATTCATTTTCCTTTGCTTAAAAATCCAAAATGTGGGCTTTTCCCATTGTGAAGTTACTGCAACGTGACCATTTCACAGGTACCACAAACATAGCGAGTACGGCAAGCATTCAGGGTCACCTTTTAAATGTGTATTGCCCCACATTACAGCCAACCTGTTTAGCTGAGCACATCCCCTCCACCCCCATCAACGTAAGGAAGCTCATCACACTCCATGTGTAAGGGGCTTTGATGTTGTGTCTGGGCAAAATAAAAGCATATTCGGCTAATCTTCTGCAATACATGCATATTATTCCTCCTCCTCTCCATAACATAGGGAGGTGTTGTATAGTCCAGCAGTTGTAAGTGATGATGATGATGATGATGATGATGATGATATTTGGCACCCTATAACTCCCATCTTCCAGGAAAGGCTTTATCTCATTAAGATGGGGGAGCTGTATGACCCCCCCGGGTACCAATCAACCACAAACCAGCCCTTAAAAGCCTATTGTGCTTCCTATTTATCTAGACAGAATCACAGACACAGTGGAAGTGACAATTTCATGCCCTGGTCTCCAGCTTGCCATACACAGTAGATAAATAAGAGAAGTCCAACAATAATTTAGCAGAATGGTCAAACACCCCTCTGACCCCTGACCTGGAGCTTTTCCAACATGCCTGAAGATTTTTAGCGGGTGAATGGGAAAACACTTCTTGATGATCGCTGTAATAGAGTTAATACAGACAAGCGTAGGGGGTGCTGAACTGCACAATTGTGAACTTTTAAGCTTTGCGATTCTGCTCAAGTCTAGTGATCCAGGCACCTCTGCCAGACACCACAGCCTGGCCCCTGACCTCTAGTGCAGTTAACATAAATACAGTCTGGTCAAGGTCCCACCCCCAGCCTGGTCACTGGATGATAAAAGATTAGCAGCACACTGATGAGGTTATACCAGTGCTCTCCTCTAACAGCATTCACAGTGTAAGACCGACAGCACCGAGCAAAGCAATGGATCGTCTGTGTTCAACCAGGGGCGTCCGGAGGCTGGGTGTCACCCTGCCGTGACGTTATAACGCATGCGATGATGTCATTGCGCATGCACGGTCTTATTGACTCCTGCCAGTGGCCATCTTGCTGACGGACGCCGGCAGAGAGAAGAGGGGACGTTCACCCGGCGGGATGAGGTATGCTGCTGGGTCCTCTCCTCTCTCCCGACACTGTCAGGCTCTCGGTGCGAGTGCCCGAATTTCCATAGAGGGCAACACCAAAATGACTGCCAGTCATTTTGGTGTCACCTCTCCAATGGTGGCACCCGGGTGCGGGCCGCACCCCCCTTGTGATGCCAAATTACTCTGAAACAAAACCAGCACTTAACACGCTTGAAGCTCTTCCTCCTTTCCACTCATTTTGCTGCAGAGTCAGAAAGCTCTGATAAGGCATCGAACACATGCTCCCTTACTGGACTACGGCACAGATGGTAAAAGATCTAGCAGTGTATGGCGAGCTTCATTTCGAATGTCTCATCCTACCCGCGGCACAAAGTACATCTGTGGTGTACGCTCGTCCCCCAGGGAACCAATACAGTAAACTTTTTGGTCCAAGTCACAAAAAAGGCCGCTGCACAATCTTCAGGATATGTTCTCCCACTCCAAGGACAGGCTTGAGAACCACTTCGGTTATGGCACAGAGAACGCAGAGAAGAAAAAATAAAATAAAACAACTCATAAAAGAAAAATTCCGACCACACCAATACGACGACACAGCATAGAAAGCACTACACATTCTTTCATCCTCAGAGTCCCAAACGGTGCGATTGCACAGACGTCTTTCAGTCCCGCGATTTCCTCGGGCTCGTTTCAAAAAATAAACAATTAAAAAAAAAAAAAAAAATAAGCA